TTACTGTCAATTTTGTACATTTTTTTGTTTAATTTCTGATGTAAAAAGCTAAAATTTGCCTTCCTCTAATACTCCTGCTTGAAATTCCCCAAAGTATGCCTAGTCCTAGTGAAAATCTGAGGCTGAGCACATTATTAGGATGCAGGGAATGCTGCAGTATTCCTAGTATCTTATCTCCGGATATATCAATATTTGTGTATCGATACTGGTTCACTGGTTTTGAAACGTTTTGACAGTGTCTGCGCTCCTTTGGAACTGAGAAGCCAAAATTATCTCTAATTATTGACAACAACAGAAATCACAATTCCCAGCCCTGAGGGAACTGGGTGATCGTTTGTAATTAAAGGTAATTAGTGGTCTCTTCGATTGCTACACCTTGGCTAAGTTTAACCCTTGCAGCCTTTCCTTCCAGCCCTTGCTTATGGTGGTACTAATGGCTCTACAGCTACAGTGTGAGTCAGTTGCCATTAAGCCCTGAAGTCTAATCTTGGGCAGAAAAAAAGATTAAATTTCACTTGCAAACTACTGTTTAAGTAGTACTTGAGTTGGTTAGAGCAGGGTGCTTATAATGCCAAGGTCATGGGTTCAATCCCCATAGAGGCCATTAACTTAAGAATTGGATTTTGTGGGTCCCTTCCAACTCAGAATATTCTGTGAATATCTGTGAGAACTAAAAAGTGGAATTGCAACAGAAAACTGAAATCAACATGCCTCACTGATGCAAGTCAGCTGCAATGCCTAAGTATTTCCCTGTCACTCATGTATACTTCAACATGAAGAATAAATAGGACAAATGAAATCCTGTGATACAGCTGAGCTGCTCTCCCTTCTCCCAACCTCCTTCCGAACAAAACAAACAAAAAATTGTTCTTAACTGAAAAGGAGCAAGAACCATTTTTTCCTATTAGGATAAAGACTGAGGAAAATCCACCCATCTTATTTTGGCATTACCAGAATTAGCAGAAATGTCAGTATTTTGCAACTGTTTGAATATAGCATTATCATAATATTTTGGAATATTGTACCGGCAGACTCATTACACTGCCATAACTGAAGTTCAGAGATCTGACTCAGATGTACAATAATAAAACAAAGACAAATACTCCGCTGCATTTTTGGTTGGAGGCATTAGTGGTAAGAGAACAAAATATAATCTGGGTTATTTATGCATGGACAGACACATGAATATTTAGTAGTCATACTAATTATAGAACTTGTTCCAATGTTTGGAGGTTTCATTCTGTCAAATGAGATTAATTAATGGGAGAAAATGCATGTTCACATAGGCAATACGTAGGAATAGCAACAGGCAACATGTCAATACTCTTCAGCGCCTCATGCGACCCCTTCAGCATGGGGTAGTTTAGTTGTTTCTGCTGCAGTACAGCGAAGACTTCAGACAACTTGCTGTCTGAAATTACTGCTTCATTTTGCTCATGCTCACTTGAAGTGCTGTTTCTGTCAAACAGGCTGTCTAGGAAGCATTTTTGGATGCCTTTCAGCGGGCCTTTTAAATGTTACTGCTATACCTACTTGGCTCTAGTGAAAGTAAGGAGGTCTCTGAACTTTCCCACTGTTTTTCTAATCTTTGCTTAAAAAATAAAAGAACTATAGGGGCCTTTAAGGAAGTTTGCTGCTGAGGAGTTTAACCTGGGGACAGAGCCTAATTTACCACATGGTATGTCAGAGGTGGCTCTGACCATTCTGCCTTGGACTCCTGTATGAAATACTTGTACCGTCACCCTAAGAAAGGCAGACCTACTCCTGCACGCCCTGGTATTATGACTGTTTTGCAATGATACCTGCCCTCATCAAGGTGCATTGTGGATCCTACTCTCCTTAGCTGCCTTTTAACACCTCTCTGCTGCATGTCAGCAGTATCTTCCTACATTAGCAGTCATGTAGAACTGGAAGAAATTAAAACCCTTCCTTCACAGGGCTCAATCTAGAGGCTTTTAACATGAATGCCACTATGGTCCTGGACTGAGGAAGTAGACGTAAAGAGGGCGAAGCCCCCATTTGACCAAATCTGTGTGCTGTAATGAAGGAGGCAGCCAGTGTAGGACAAGCTGTAGGCCTGCCTGGGACCTCTGTGTTACTCTTCATCCCTTGCTGTCACTGACATAGCTGACCTAGTGCCCTTAGAAGGGAGTGTGCAAAAGCCATCTGAGATGGGTGTCCCAGGTCCTCTCCCACAGGCAAGTGGAAGAGGCATGAAAGCTGCTTCCAGGGATCAGGAAGAAGCCATCCTGCCCTGGACCTTGTGCCAGGTAACAGAGCAGCAGAGGGAAATCCAGTCTCTCACTTGAGCTATACCTTGTTTGAAAGCAACAGCAGTGTCCTGGATCCCTCCTGTATCTCCTGAGGGCCAGCTGTGGAAGGATACAGCACAGTGGGTTAAAGTTTGTGCAGTGCTGCTCCAGCCATACATCGGGGCATGCAGTGGTACATACACAGTGCTATCTGCGCTCCCAGCATGGTCTTCACCTGCCAGAGGCTGGACAACAGATGTTTCTGCCAGACAGGTAGACTTCTGCTCATCTGAACTCCCCTGTGCTTTGAAGGCATGGCTAATCCACCAGGAGGTGACTTACTGCTGCATCCATCAAACGACAGTCATGATAGTGAAGCACTTTAAATGGAGTGAACCAGATGGTGCCATTCGTGCCTTTCAGAGTTGGTCTTGCCTGCCACTTGTTGCCTCAGTGCAGCAACATGAGTGTGAGAACTGAAGCAGTGCTGCTTACTTGGCCTATAAACTTCATCCCCTTGGAAGTTACTCTGTCACCATGAGGTGACCCATCAGTTTAAGGATAAGGCAAGCAAGATGATATATATTCATGTCAGATACTTATGGCACAAGTTCATAATTTTGTAACATTTTACTGTCACACTGTCCTGGTGTTTGCTATCTTGCTGGCAGCTATCACAAAATCAGACCAACAGGACTTAAACAAGCAAGGGAATCCCAAACTTGAACTCAAAAATGGTGATACCAATACTTTGCTTTCCCATTTTCCCCTTTTATTTCCTCTGTACCTTAAAATCAAATGGAAAGAAAGACATATTTTGTAAATGCTTTACTCACCACCAAAAATCACTGATGTGTGCACCACATTTAGCAGTGGGCATCAGTGTAATGGAAAGTAGTACTAGCAGTGAAGAATAGCATTGCGTTCAATAATCACTACAGGAGGAATGCAAGCAGACAGTATGCCTATGTGTCTTCACTCTTGTCAGAAAATGGCTTGCTATGACTGCTTGTGCAGTTCTTTGTATCATGTCAAAAGACATTCCTGGAGCAAATGTACTGGTTGTCCTTTGTAATGCACAGGGGAAATAGGACCATCTAAGGAATTATTCATGCTTTTACCCCTCAAAACTTGCCTCTTTTCTCTGAATGTGTACCAACTTGACTCAGCTAGTTGCTGGTTATATTTGAGAATCTCACTCAACGCAGAGAGCTGAAGATGGTTAACAATTGCAGCAGCACTGTAACTGGTAACTCCTTAAGAACTACTCCTAGGAAAGGATTTAAACTGCTTGGAGTGATGGCTGATACAATTTAGCACTTAGCAATGAGAAGGAAAACAGTCATATACAACCAGCTTTCTGAAAAGCAACATCAAGTACTTCAGAGACCTGCCCTGGATTCTAGGGCGTTGCAGGCATATGATTAAATGTCATGGCAAGGAAGAGGTGACTGCCTGAGATGCTAAATCCTTTGCTGCTTTTGCAAAATGTAACAAAATGTGTAAACACATTTGGACAGTTATTTTCTCTCTGCTCTGCTGGCTTTGGCTGAGCACACCACATCAATAACCTTAACTAAAGAGAGGCATGCAGGGATCTTGGCAGAGTTTGAGAGATGATTGATTGGGTTGGTGCAATGAAGTAAATTCCTCTTCTTCCTGCTGCCCAGAGCATGAACGCTGCAGGTGTAGAGAGGCATGTCCCATACCTTGGTCACTGATGTACCAGGGTACTCCAGGGGACCCGCAGGCAGGCATCTTATTTTAACCTCCACTGTACAAACTCGTTATTGAAAGACACCAATACATCTGTGACTAATGTGTTGGGCTTGTTCTCTCTTCAGTGTACTAACTTCCCCTGCCGTATTCCGGGGGGCTTTAAGCAATGGCACTTTACTGATTTGTTAATTTTAAAACTGGATTTTGCCTCAGTTGAAGCCTTACAGCCCCTGCTGTGTGTCACTCAGCAAAGCAGACTGACTGCAATGAAGTAGATGGCTGTTTACCAGAACTGGGTTGCTCACTTTCTGTAATTTACCTTTTTTTATTATTTATTTATTTTTTATTTTATTTAATGCTTTGGCTTGCTTGGGTTTTTAATCAGAGCACAGGAGAGAAGGAGGCAAAGAGGGAGGCAGAGAGGAAAGCAGTTCTTGGGCTATGTTGACAGACGACTGCTTCCTCAGTTGTCAGGTTTTAAGCCTGTCAGCAGCGCTGCTGGTAAATGGAAAAGAAATAATGGTAGGGCGGGGAGGGCGAGGCTGACCTGACGGAGACTAGACCGGAGGGGCTGTGCGCTGTCACTACCACGGCGGCAGGCAGCCTGGTACGACAGCGCCGCAGCCCCGGTTACTCCTGCAGCTGCCCGACTCCCCATAGCTGCCCCTACAGACAGCTCACTTGTCAGCAAGGGATTTTCTTCCCCTCCTCCCTTGATACAGATCCCTCAACTGGTATTATGGATTGTATCCTTGGTTTATTGTAATAGAAAAACAAAACAAAAAACAAGGGAGAAAAATCCGTGTGAGTTTGCAATCTGGAGATGAGCCTTTGATTCCCTCGGTCAGCCCGAGGATGGTTGCATATTGGCACAGCTGCCCCCCGCGTACACCTGAGTGCTCGCGGCTTGCCCCCCAGCCCCACTTGCAGGGAGGGGGGGAAAGCGTCTACCAGAAATGTTAGCTGCTCCCGGGCAGTGTTGAAGGTGGAGCCTGTGCATGCGTAGTGGCAGCAGCCGCCCTCAGCTTTAACCAAAGAGGTAACCTGCAGCTATGGAGTCACCGACTAAGGAAATCGAAGAATTTGAGAGCAACTCTCTGAAATATCTACAGCCAGAGCAAATAGAGAAAATCTGGCTTCGTCTCCGAGGCTTGTAAGTAGTACTTTTTTTGTTGTCTCCCAATTTCCTCCAACTGTCAAAATTATTGTAGTATTTTATTTTTTCTTTCTTGCTGGTATGTTCAGAATCTCCCAGGAGTTTCCACACCTGTTCTCCATAAATACAGTGACTTAATCTTAGCAAAATGTCAATTTACTTCCTTAAATTGAACTGCTTCTTAAATTTAACAAACATTTTCAAGTGGGAATGTAGAAATGTCATTAATGAAGCATATTAAGATACAGGCAGTTACTGAGATGCTAGTTACTTTGGGTGTTATACTAGAAAAGTTTTGTTGTAGCCTGAATGGTACTTAGTTGAATTCTGCTTTTGATGCAACATAGAGAAGACTTTTTCCTCACTATAAATGTACACCATTTCTGACACTGACATGATTAATAAGAACAAAATAGGCAGAGAAGGCACAATTGGAATACATTTCTAATAGCATTTGTAATGGCAGGAAATTCATCTTCCACTGATTGGATTGTACATTTAGCCTGACTTGCCATGAAATGACTGGACATTGCCTCCTGAGTAAAAAAAAAGTACCTGTGCTTAAAGAACTTGGCACTGCAGAGCAGAAAAAGCTGTAGAGTCTGCTAGCTTATTTAGAAGCAATATCTGGTGTCTTTTTCAGATTCTTGGTATGTAAAATACTATCTACCAGCAATAAGATCCTTTACTGGCAGCAAACCATTTATTTGTCCATCAGTTTTCAGCCAAGGAAAAGAGGAGCATTACTGTGTTAAGCTACATACCTTTCTAAGTTCAGAACTGTTTGTGTTTGTTTACTTTTTTCAGCCTTACATGCTTGAATTATTAAAATTTTAGCCCTCAAGGGAAAGGCTGGGGAGAAGGAAACAAGGAGGCTTGGAAACAGCAGAAGCAACAAAATGAAGGAAGAGTAGGCTAATAACTGAAAACAAATAGGTCCAAGTTAAACCTGAGTTGCTCTTTGAGTGCTGTTTTGTGTGAGAAATGGTGGAATATATTGCAAAGCATATCCAAAACTTGTGAGGGATTCCAAGCAATCTATGACATATGCATGAATATGTATTTCTTTCAAGGCATCACTCCAGGAAGCCTATTGTGTGAAGGAACTTAATCAAAGCAGATAACAGCTGTTTTGTAAGCCTTCCAAATAGAAGAGCCACACAAAACAAGCCTTCTAATTTTTAAATCTGTGCCATGCTGTAGTATTAGGATTTCTTGAATTTCTGTCTAATATGGAGTTAAGGAGCATGCTGATTTGGATTCCACCTGGAGTTCATAGGTAATTGTTCAGTAGCGTTGTTGTTTGGGATCTCTCTTGCTGTTAGTACAAGCTCTGATCTCTTCTACCTTTTGAAAAGTTAGAAAAACTTGAAGACTTATTTTAGATGCGTAATGGCTAAATCTCAGGCTGTTTTTCAGTATAGCCCTCTTTGTCAGCAGTGGGCATGAGTGTAACGTCTCTTCTCCTGAGTGTTAAGATTTCTTTGCCTAAAGAGGAGAGAGATTTTTTCTGTAGAATTCTTGATCACAAGATGGAAACTGAAATGTGTTCTGTAGAAGATTTTGCATTCCCAGTTATTTTATGGAGGCTTTTAGTTCATTTTTAGTTCATGTATACACACACACAACTGTTTGCAAACTGAGGTTTGGCATCATGTTTTGCGTTTTTTTCTTGTCTGTTTTTATGCATGCTTATATGTGTAAGAGGAACGATCACATGTGCACAACCCTCTTAATTGAATCTTAAATAAGATGCTTCAGCCTGGAGAGGTCAAATACTGCTTGAGAAGACACCTTTCTCCTCTGCCACTAGTACACCGACAGCCATATCACACAGGAATTAGTTACAAGGCACAGCAGTGCTACCAGAAGAGTCTTACAGAGGTAGTGAGAGAGGGCACGATGCTGGCTGAAGACGCCTGAGGAGTTGTAGTCTGCAGCATACAGATATCCAGATACCCAGTAATTTGATCGTGATACCTCTCCTTAAATGGGAAGGGTTGTGATGATTTAAATAGTCTGAGGTGCTAGGCATGGTGTTGGACACCTTCTTGGTAGGACTTCATCTGTGACAACTCTGGTATCTTCTCACCCCCTGTGCCCCAGCTGGTGTGTTACTCACAATGACTTTGTGGACAAAACAATATCCATCACCTCTTGCAATATTTGGCTTTTCTAGAGGGCAGGGAATGGGGCTCTTTTAATTTTCACTCAATCTCGGCCTGCTTGGTTTGAAGGGACTGGAAACCCAAAGGCTGCTGCAAAGGGGTGGTTAAGTTGAGGCTCTTTTCAGATGCCCCTAATGTAGTGTATTTTCTGTTTAAGCAAGTCTAGTGAGGGCTTTTTTTGCCACGAGCCTGGTACTGTTCTGTCACGGAATCACAGAATATGCTGAGTTTGGATGGCACCCACAAGGATCACTGAGTCCAACTCAGCCCCTGCACAGGACCATCCCTAAGAGTCACACCATGTACCTGAGAGTACGTTCCTCTTGAACTCTGTTAGGTTTGGTGCTGTGACCGCCTACCTGGGGAGCCTGTTCTGTCCTGCAGGATGGCTGGCCTCTGGAGGTTTGGGCATGGAATGTATACTTTCAAGGTATAGAGAGGTCTTCTGGACAGCAGGGAAGGAAAGATTTTTTGTGAGGCTGAAGCGAGGTGTCTGTTGCAACATGAATCATATGTTGCTCTGAAAACCAGACAAGATACTTAATTTGTCTCTGGAGTGGAGGGGAATGGTTTGCTTCTCCTTTTCTCTTTGTATCTCTCCAAGATGTGGTTTCTTAGTCAGGACAGCCTGGTTGATTTGTAAGCATAGCAGTGTGAGGCAGTGGTTGTTAGGCCATATACAAGTTCCTTTTGCTTTAACTGTTTAAGAATGAGCTAAAATACTAATGCAATAACTGTACTGAAATGTTTTTACTTGACGTATACGTATTAATGGTGTAATGATTCTGTGCAGTAATTTATATGAGAAACAGGTCGGTGGACCTATAGTGTTTTCTCAGGTTTAAGGGACTGTGGTAAGTTGTCTCATTGGGCAGTAAGTCATCTGTGGCAAAATCTTTGGGTGTCTCTAACCAGAGATTTATGAAAAAAATGTTGCCTTTTGCACATGACCTATTAGATATCAATTTAGGTTTAGTCACAGCTTACAAAAAGAATCTTCTAGTGATTTATTATTAGTAAGCTTTGAGGAAAGCTTTCTGAATAAGCTGTTGTTGGGCAAAGGTACCACTAGAGGATTTCCTTGCAGAAGAGGCCTCCCAGGAACAAACCTGCTTCAGAGTTTTAACAACATAATAAATAAATCAAACTTGAACAGCTTCAGTCTCTTTAAGGATATCTAATAGGGCTTTTGCTTTTGGCTGCTAGAGAGCTTCCTGTCTCCCAGGAGTGCCGCTGGATGCAAGTGGTGCTCCCCCACCACCTTGTGCCTCCCTGTCCCCACAAGCACAGAGGAGCTCTCACTCCCTGGCTGCTGATAGGTTGCCAGCTGCCTCTGCACACCGCTGGTGTATACATGCACTCCTGCTGGGTGTATGTTTAATTTAGGAGCAGACCTCCTTGGCTGCTGCTGGGCTGCTGCTGGATGGGGATGTCTGTTTCATCACGTGAGGCCTGCCTTTGGTCACTTTTCCCTTTTTCCTAAGCAGTGCTCAGCCTGCAAGAAGCTGTTTCTTAGGAATGTGTTGATTGTTTGCATAATGCTCTTAATGGGTGCTGCTGCCAGAAAAAGGATCTTGAATCTCTTGCTCCATGGATCCTGTCCAGAAGACAGTCTTTTATTCAGACTTGGCTTATTCAGCTTTAGGCTTGGACAGTGTATATAGGAGTTACATGAGTCCACCTTCCAGTCTCCAGTGATTGCTAATAATTTTGCTAAAATCGAGATCTTCTGCTCTGCAAAACTTATCAGTTAAGATTAGGTGAGAGCCATTACAGTTCACTGTTGGCAGCAGAGCTTGGAGACATTATTTCAAAACACATGGTTTCAAGATTGCTTGGTTGCTTTTCAAGCTGACGGTTTCTCTAGGGAGGTAAGAGCAGTGGTGGTTATGTTGCAGTGTTCTTCTTTTAGCACTTGGAGCCCTAGCTGTGGAACTTGAACTCCCATCTGCTAGCTACAACTCTTAAAACTTCATGAAGTGGCTTCAATTGCTTCCTGATTTCTCAAGAACAGAGAAAGCACTGAAGCCCTCTTCAACGCTAGGATTAGATGTTGTGTCTGAGGACATTGAAGAATGCAGAGATATATATCCAAAGAACTTTGTGAGTTTCAGTAGGGATGTGCTAGTTTACAGCAGCTTGGAGATATTTTTTGTTTTGATTTTGGTTCCTTTTATGCAGAAAAATAAAACCTTTGTTTCTAGCTATTACAGTAGTACTGGCATCACTGGCATCTGCTGGTACCTCTGCAGTGCTTTAAGCATTGCACAGGGAGAGGAGGGAAAATGGACTTTAACCTTCTTCCCAGTAGCTGGGCTTATAATGTTGAATTGCTAAATACATAATAAATCCCTTCATTCTCAGTGTAGTCGTTCCTCATGCTACTCTCATAGGATCACGAAGGTTGGAAGAGACCTTTAATATCATGCAGTCCAACTGTCAACCCAGCACTACTACTGTAACCCCTAAATCACTAAACCATATCACCCAGTGGCAGCTCCAAACACCTTTTGAACACCTTCAGGGATGATAATTCCACCACGTCCCTGGGCACCCTATTCCAATGCCTGACCACCCTAACTGTGAAAAAACTTTTTCTAATATCTAATCTGAATTTCCCATCTCAGCTTACGGCCATTTCCTCTAGTCCTCTCATTGCAGGTGTGGTAGAAGAGACTAGTTCCCACCTCACTACCACCTGTTTTCAGGTAGTTGGAGAGAGCGGTGAGGTCCCCCTGAGCCTCTTCTTCTAAAGACTAAATAAACCCAGCTCCTTCAGCTGTTCCTCATAAGGCATGTTTTCTAGACCCTTCATGAGCCTTGTTGCCC